GAAGGATCTTGTTTAGGAAGCAGCCATGCAGGCCCAAGCCAAGACACTGCCTCCATCATGCTTCACAGATGAGCTTGAATGCTTTGGATTATTAGCAGATCCTTTCTTTCTCCACTGTTTGTTTTGTCCATCTGCTCTTTGTTTTTGAACATTCATTCTAAGTTAATACTTTTCTTTCTTTCTTTTTTTTAATACAACTTTTCTGTTACATATTCTAAAATTAACAGTAAAAAATATTACACACAAATCCAATTAGACCTTTTCAAATAAATTTTATTTTTCCTCTAAATACGCATTTTTTAAATTTTTTAATCTGTTTATATTTAGGATGCAAGGGTTGTTCCGTTTTTATCGTTAGGCTTGCGTTCTTCATGCCGTGATAAAGTGCATGCAGCCATAAACCTTGTGGCCATAGGTTCAAATCTTCAGAATTTTCCATCTTTGGCGTATGTATAAATTATTCACTTTTTGTTTTGGTGGCTTTATTTATTTAATTAAAAAAAAAACTAAAAAAAAACTCAGTACATCAACAGTTCTAGGCAATAATCTTGAAAATGAACTGAAGTTTTGACTCTTTATCTTTGCATTGAAATCCTGCCATATGTATTCAAAGTTGTAATAAAACAAAGCCTTTGGTTGGCAAATTCCGATTCAAAAGTTTGAAAGTCTCTTTTCAGGTCACCCTTAGGCAAAGCATAGCTTCTCTCCAATTTGCTTAGTGTTACAGCAATTCACTATTTTGTGTACTAAAAAAACAAACTTGAATTTTAAAATAAAGAAGAGAAACTTCATTAATGTCAAAGTATCAGAATTTACTACACAGTGTTTATATGAAAGTTGATATGTAATGAAACTAAATTTTTGATATAGGTTTAAAATTAGCTTATTCTTAATTTGCTATTAAAATGTTTTTCCTGTTTTAAATATTGAGTTAGAGAAATCCACATCTTTTTAGCTATTTTTATTTGTATTCTTTGTTTATAGTTTAGGAGATGTCTTGGCTGCAGGTAATGCTTACAGAGATTCTAGCCAGCAACACACTTTACAAACACCAACAGGAAACAATGAACAAAATGATATCTCTGGAAATTCCAGTGCTGTCCCACCTCACCAGAATTCCACTAAGTTATCTTCTATTAATGACCAGTGCATTGAAGATTTGATTGAGAAAATGCAAACCGGATTAGAGGTGAGGTATTATTAAATTCTTAGTGCTGTGGGTCAGGTTATACTTTAGAATGTTCCATCCATAGAGACTTTGTTCATTTACTTTAATTTGCAAACATGGTAGAGACTAAATCTTTCAGAAAAAAATAAAAGATAATGAGGGGCTCATTGTGATGAACTAAGAGCTGTCACTAAGAGCTGTAAATGTACAAAGGCCCCAATCCTCTGTCAGCTTACTACCAACTAGACAATGACCACCCCATTTTGCATTTCTTCTTGCCCATATATGACCAAAAACTGGGAAAGGCCTATTGCAAATCCACAAGTAAAAGAAAGGTTAAACACAAGAAATGGGGGATCAAACCGTTTATATTTAGTTGTTTAATTCAAGGATTCTCTTACATCGTCTGGGGGAGTAGGTATATGACATTTAGACTTCTGCCATCTCAGACTAATAAATCAGCTCTTCCCTCAACTCAACATCATCATGTGGGACTGGCAACTCTGATGAGTGGCATTGGAACTATCCCAAAGGGATAGTCTGTCTCTGTTAACAGACTGTCCAGCACTGAAGTACTTCAATCTCAAATGTGACTGTTAATATAATCCTGTAACTGAAAATCCTCAATGTTTGGTTTTGTTGTCACTTGTTCCTCAAAACTTTCATTTATTGTCTTTTGGCCATCCTCAAAACACCAGTTCAGACTTACTGCTGGTCATAAAACACATAACACTTGGAAATAAAATCATGTAACACTCCCTTTTATGTGGGTGTCCCAAATATACTGCAACATTTCTTCACAAGCTAAATGTTTTAATTTGTATTCAGTTATTTTAAAAAAATTTTAAAGACTATTTTCAGTCATTAAAATAAGCCTGTAATTATTCACAATATACTATTATTCTGCTATGGTTTGTTGAAGAATTAAATTTTAATTTTAAAAAGCCAGATTGAGTCAACAGTATGTAAAGAAAAACTTAGAAATATTTTTACAAATTTTATGAAAACTCTGTTGTTGAGAACTTTTTTAATTTCATTTTTTCTTCTATTTTATTTCAGGTGAAAGATATGAAGCTTTCTGAAATGATTGATATTTATGAACACAAGCTGCAATCTATGCAGGTATATTGTCTATTTACTATGACTGATTTGTGTCTATTATTCATTTTTCTCCCATATAAATGGATATATTGATATGAGTATTTATTTTATTTCAGTTGTTAGTGAACCGTTTTATGAAAATATCTGTTAATTTTTTATAAATAACTGCTTGGCTAAGTTAAAGTAAATGTCAATAATGAATTTGTCAAAGTTAAACTTTTTCATCTAGAAATTAGTCCTAGCACAATCTTAAAGTTAGACTGAAATAGTTTTTATTTCCAGTTCCAAGCAGCCTGTTTATCACAAATGTAAACACACACACACACAATATTAGGATTTTGAACCCAAACAAATTAATTCATCAGAAACAAAAACATTTATGGACCAATCAGAAGTTATTTAAAAATAATCAAAAAGGTCAATCATAGTGGAGTCAATTTCTAAATCTAGAAAGTTAGGAAAACTCAGCCTTTTATCAATTAATGGCAGTCCTTCTGTAGAAGTCATGTCTGACTTTTCAGATTGCTGTTACATGATCTTCTGCATTTTCAATGGTTTATACCTTATTTTTCAGTAAGCTTCAACTTTCACTGCAAACTATCAAGTATTTTCTACATTGAAGCTTTTGTCTAATTTATTTTCTTTAAAAGAAAAATTTGAATTATCTCTTCTTTTCAAAAGCTAAAAATCTCTTTTTTTGTCTTCTTAATTTCTTTTCTCTTTTTTTTTTCTTTTTTCTTCTTTTCTCTTTTTGTTTTTTCTTTTTTTGTCTTTTCTCTTTTTTTGTCTTTTCTCTTTTTTTCTTTTCTTTTTCTTTTTCTTTTTTTGTCTTTTTTTCTTCTTTTTTCTTTTTCTTTTTTTTTGTCTTTTTTCTTTTTTTTTTTGTCTTTTTTCTTCTTTTCTCTTTTTCTTCTTTTCTTTTTTTTTGTCTTCTTTTTTCTTTTCTCTTCTTTTTTCTTTTTTTTTTTTCTTTTTTCTTCTTTTTGTCTTTTTTTTCTTTTCTCTTCTTTTGTCTTTTCTTTTCTTCTTTAAGGTTCTTTTCTCTTCTTTTGTCTTCTTTTCTTTTCTTTTTCTTCTTTTGTCTTCTTTTTTCTTTTGTCTTCTTTTGTCTTTTCTCTTCTTTTGTCTTTTCTCTTCTTTTGTCTTCTTTTGTCTTTTGTCTTCTTTTGTCTTCTGTTCTTCTTTTCTCTTCTTTTGTCTTCTTTTGTCTTTTCTCTTCTTTTCTCTTCTTTTGTCTTTTCTCTTCTTTTCTCTTCTTTTGTCTTTTCTTCTTTTGTCTTCTTTTGTCTTTTCTCTTCTTTTGTCTTCTTTTGTCTTTTCTCTTCTTTTCTCTTCTTTTGTCTTTTCTTTTCTTTTGTCTTTTCTCTTGTTTTTTGTCTTCTTGAATTTTTTTTCTTTTTTTCTCTTCTCTTTTTTTTTTTTCTCTTCTTTTGTCTTCTTTTTTCTTTCTTTTGTCTTTTTTCTCTTCTTTTGTCTTCTTTTGTCTTTTCTTTTTATTTTTTTGTCTTTTTTTTTTCTTTTCTTCTTTTGTTTTTTCTCTTCGAAATCTTTTTTAAGATCAAATGTTCTTTTGTCTTTTCTCTTCTTTTTGTCTTTTCTTCTTTTCTCTTCTTTTGTCTTTTTTTCTTTGTTTTTTCTTTCTTTTTTTTTTCTCCAAGTCTTTTTCTTTTTTCTTTTCTCTTCTTTTGTCTTCTTTTGTCTTTTCTCATCTTTTGTCTTTTTTGTCTTCTTTTTGTCTTTTCTCTTCTTTTTAGTTCTTTTCTTCTTTTGTCTTTTTTTGTCTTTTTTTTTCTTTTTTCTTCTTTTTTTGTTTTCTTTTTTCTTTTTTCTTTTCTCTTTTCAGTTCTTTTCTTTATTCTTTTTGTCTTCTTTTGTCTTTTTCTTCTTTTCTCTTTCTTTTGTCTTTTTTCTTCTTTCTCTTCTTTTTTTCTTTTCCCTTCTCACCATCTTCTTTCTTCTTTTGTCTTTTCTCTTCTTTTGTCTTTTTGTTTTTCTTCTTCTTTCTCTTCTTCTTCTTTTCTCTTCTTTTTTCTTTTCTTTTTTGTCTTTGCTTTTTGTCTTTTGTCTTCTTTTTGTCTTTTCTTCTTTCTCTTTCTTTTCTTTTCTCTATTTTTAATTTTGTCTTCTTTTTTTCTTTTTTTTTTTTTTCTTCTTTTCTTCTTTTTTTCTTTTTCTTCTTTTGTCTTTTGTCTTCTTTTGTTTTCTTCTTTTGTCTTTTGTCTTTTCTTTTCTCTTCTTTTTTCTTTTGTTTTCTCTTTTTCTCTTGTCTTTTCTTTTATTTTTTCTTTTTTCTTCTTTTGTCTGGATTCTTCTTTTCTCTTCTTTTTGAGCCAACCTTCTTCTTTTCTTCTTCTTGTCTTTTCTTTCTCTTCTTTTTTCTTCTTTTGTCTTTTTTCTTCTTTTGTCATTTCTTTTTCTTTTATTGTCTTTTGTCTTCTTTTCAGCAGAAGTTCTTCTTTTGTCTTTTTTCTTCTTTTTTCTTTTTTCTTTTTACTTCTTTTTTTGTCTTTTCTCTTCTTTTTCTTTTCTCTTCTTTTCTTCTTTTATTTTGTCTTCTTTTTTCTTTTTTTTTCTTTTTATTTATTTTGTCTTTTTTTTTTTCTTCTTTTTGTCTTCTAAAAAAACTATTTTTGTCTTTTTCTTTATTCTTCTTTTGTCTTCTTTTCTCTTTTCTCTTCTTTATTTCTCTCTTTTTTCTTTTCTTTTCTTTTTTTCTTTTTTTCTCTCTTAAATGATTTTTGTCTTTTATCTTTCTCTTATTTTGTCTTTTTGTCTTCTTTTGTCTTTTGTGGAAATTTTTTCTTTTTTCTCTTCTTTTCTCTTTTTTTCTTTTTCTTCTTTTCTTTTTTCTTCTTTTCTCTTCTTTTTCTTTTCTTTTTTCTTTCTTTTCTTTTTTTGTCTTCTTTTGTCTTTTCTTTTTTTGTCTTTCTTTTTTTTTTTTTCTGTCTTTTTGTCTTCTCTTTTCTTTTATCTTCTTTTGTCTTTGTTTTCTTTTTTCTTCTTTTTTTGTCTTCTTTTCTTTTTTCTTCTTCTTTCTTTTCTCTTCTTTATTCTTCTTTTTTCTCTTTTTTCTCTTCTTTGTCTTTTTTTTGTCTTTTCTCTTTTTTTGTCTTTTAATTCTTTCTTCTTTGTTATTTTTTTCTTTTTTGTTTTTTTTTTTTTTTCTTTTTTTTTTTTTTTTCTTTTTCTTTTCTCTTCTTTTGTCTTCTTTTGTCTTTTCTCTTCTTTTGTCTTTTCTCTTCTTTTCTCTTCTTTTGTCTTTTCTCTTCTTTTTTCTCTTCTTTTTTTTCTTCTTTTCTCTTCTTTTGTCTTTTCTCTTTTGTCTTCTTTTGTCTTTTCTCTTCTTTTGTCTTCTTTTGTCTTTTCTCTTCTTTTGTCTTTTTCTCTTTTTCTTCTTTTGTCTTTTCTCTTCTTTTGTCTTTCTTTTCTCTTCTTTTGTCTTTTGTCTTTTTCTTTTCTCTTCTTTTCTCTTCTTTTGTCTTTTGTCTTCTTTTGTCTTCTTTTGTCTTTTCTCTTCTTTTGTCTTTTCTCTTTTTTCTTCTTCTTTTCTTCTTTTCTTTTCTCTTCTTTTCTCTTCTTTTGTCTTTTCTCTTCTTTTGTCTTTTCTCTTCTTTTGTCTTCTTTCTCTTCTTTTGTCTTCTTTTGTCTTTTCTCTTCTTTTGTCTTTTCTCTTCTTTTCTCTTCTTTTGTCTTTTCTCTTCTTTTGTCTTCTTTCTTCTTTTGTCTTCTTTTGTCTTTTCTCTTCTTTTCTCTTTTCTCTTCTTTTGTCTTTTCTCTTCTTTTGTCTTCTTTTTTCTTTTCTCTTCTTTTGTCTTTTCTCTTCTTTTGTCTTTTTCTTCTTTCTCTTCTTTTGTCTTCTTTTGTCTTTTGTCTTCTTTTGTCTTTACTTTTGTCTTTTCTCTCTTTTTCTTTTTTGTCTTTTTTCTTCTTTTCTCTTCTTTTTTGTCTTTTCTCTCTTTTCTTCTTTTGTCTTTTCTCTTCTTTTCTCTTCTTTTCTCTTTTCTCTTCTTTTGTCTTTTTATTCTTTGTCTTCTTTGTATTTTTTCTCTTCTTTTGTCTTTCTCTTCTTTTTTTTTTTTCTTCTTTTCTCTTTTCTCTTCTTAATTCTTTTTCTCTTCTTTTGTCTTCTTTTGTCTTTTGTCTTCTTTTGTCTTCTTTCTTCTTTTCTCTTCTTTTGTCTTCTTTTCTTTTCTCTTCTTTTGTCTTTTCTCTTCTTTTGTCTTTTCTCTTCTTTTGTCTTCTTTTTGTGTCTTTTGTCTTCTTTTCTTTTGTCTTCTTTTTCTCTTTTCTTTTGTCTTCTGATGTCTTTTTCTTCTTTTTGTCTTTATTCTTCTTTTTATCTTTTCTCTTCTTTTCTTCTTTTTTTGTCTTTTCTTTCTTCTTTTTCTCTTTTCTCTTCTTTTGTCTTTGTTTTCTTTCTTCTTTCTTTTCTCTTTTATCTTTTTCTCTTTTTTTTTGTCTTCTTTTGTCTTTTCTCTTCTTTTCTCTTCTTTTGTCTTCTTTTGTCTTTTTTTTTCTTTTGTCTTCTTTTGTCTTCTTTTGTCTTTTTTTCTCTTTTCTTTTGTCTTTTCTCTTCTTTTGTCTTTTCTCTTCTTTTGTCTTTTTTTTTTCTTTTGTCTTTTCTCTTCTTTTGTCTTTTCTTTTGTCTTTTCTCTTCTTTTGTCTTTTCTCTTCTTTTGTCTTCTTTTGTCTTTTCTCTTCTTTTCTCTTTTTTGTCTTTATTTTTTTTTCTTCTTTTCTTTTCTCTTCTTTTGTCTTTTTTTCTTTTGTCTTTTTTCTTTTGTCTTCTTTTTTCTCTTCTTTTGTCTTTTCTCTTCTTTTGTCTTTTGTCTTCTTTTGTCTTTTCTCTTCTTTTGTCTTCTTTTGTCTTTTCTCTTCTTTTGTCTTCTTTTGTCTTTTCTCTTCTTTCTCTTCTTTTGTCTTCTTTTGTCTTTTCTCTTCTTTTGTCTTCTTTTGTCTTTTCTCTTCTTTTGTCTTCTTTTGTCTTTTCTCTTCTTTTGTCTTTCTTCTTTTGTCTTTTCTTTTCTCTTCTTTTGTCTTTTCTCTTCTTTTGTCTTCTTTTGTCTTCTTTTGTCTTTTCTCTTCTTTTGTCTTCTTTTGTCTTCTTCTTTTTTTGTTTTCTTTTTTTTTTCTTTTTCTTTTTCTTCTTTTGTCTTCTTTTTGTCTTTTCTCTTCTTTTTTCTCTTTTTTTGTCTTTTCTCTTCTTTTGTCTTTTCTTCTTCTTTCTTTCTTCTTTTGTCTTTTCTCTTTTTTCTTCAGAATGTCTTTCTCTTCTTTTTCTTTCTTCTTTTTTTCTTCTTTTGTCTTTTCTCTTTTTTTCTTTTTGTCTTATTTCTTCTTTTCTTTCTTTTCTTTTCTTTTCTCTTTTTCTTTTTTTCTTTTTTTTTTTCTTCTTTTCTCTTTTGTCTTTTTTTCTTTTTTCTCTTTTTTCTTTTTCTTTTTTCTTTTTTCTTTTTTTTTGTCTTTTCTCTTCTTTTTCTCTTTCTTTTTTCTTTTGTCTCTTTTTTTCTTTTTCTTCTTTTTTTTTTTTTTCTTTTTTCTCTTTCTTCTTTTTTTTTTTTCTTTTGTCTTTTCTTTTTTTTTTTTTCTTTCTTCTTTTTTTTTTTCTTTTCTTTTGTCTTTTTTTTTTTTTTTTCTTTTTTCTTTTTTTCTCTTTCTTTTGTCTTTTTCTCTTTTGTCTTTTTTTTTCTTTTTCTTTTGTCTTTTTTTTTCTTTTTTCTTCCTTCTCTTTTTTTTTTTGTCTTTTTTTTTCTTTTTATTTTTTTCTCTTTTTTTTTCTTTTTTCTTTTAAATAATGTTAATTTGTCAACCCAAGGGTAATAAATCTTTTTTTTTCTCTTTTTTCTTTTTTCTCTTTTTCATGGAGGGAATTTTCTTTTTCTCTTTTTCTCCATGGAGTACATTTTACCTTATTTGATATTTTTTTTTGTTTCTCTTTTTACGTCTTTTTCTTTTCTCTTTTTTTATTTTTTTCTTTTTTTCAGTTTTTTTATTTTTTTTTTCCATTGCAATTTTTTTCTCTTTTTTCAAATTTTCTGTTAATGTATTTTTGTCAATTTAATAATGGTTTATTTTTAATTGTGAGCATCTACATAAAAACTAAGACAATAGCTGCATTTAGATATATCCGGCTGATATTAGCAATGTCCTTCAAGCATGGCTCTCAGTTTTTTATATTTTTTTTCTTTAAATTCAACAAGGGATTTGTTACAAAGTGGAGATCCCTGTTAAAAAATCTAATTGCTTTTAAGCCCACTAGGTATTTGATTTTGACGGGCACCAGGTTACAAATAGTATTCTAAAACATTCTGGTTTAAAATTTTGTAAAGCCGCCTTTCTAAAAGGCACATTGCCCATCCTTTTCATCTTTTTTCTTTTTGTCCATGACCATACAAAAAAGTTCCAATAGCAAACCTCCAATTTGTATCTCATTTCTGTGGACAGTTCCTTCTCCTTCTATCTTCTGGTGAAAGGTTCCCCTCCTGTGGTCTTTGGTGTGTTTTCCTTTTTTTCCTTACTATTTATTAAACCATTTCACCATGTATTGAGCTCCTCCTCCTGTTCTTCACATATTATTTATTTGTTAACAACAAGATCTAGATGTCTAACCTTACAGAAAAAAAAAAATTCCATATCCATTCCTCTCCCTTCCTTGGGATTATCCAATGATTTACTTCTTTTCCTATCACATACAAAAATTGTTTAGCAAATCAATTTCTCTCAATCCAAAATCCCATCTGTTTTATTTGAGTTCTTTCTTAAGAACCTTTAACAAATTTTAATTTAATTTTTTTGCTGATGACCATTTATTTTATCTTCTGTGAAAATTCTTGACTCAGGAAATTTTATTCTTTCTTCTTATTCTTTTAGGTTTTTAATTTCTTTTTTTGTCTGCTGGAGATCACTATTCAAAATCTTAAATATTTGTTGATTCAAAAAAAATTGTGGCTTACTCATGAATATCCTGGGACTATTAATCCTCTCCTTTATTTTTCTCCCGAAAACCTGACTGAATCAGTTAAATTCTGTTTCTAAAATATATTGTTTCCTGTTTTCTTTTGTTTTAAGACAACAAAGTAATATTGTTGGTAAATAAAACCTTTTATGATACAAAACATGGACTTTCTAGACAAGAATAAATAATTTTTTTTTTTTTTAATTTTTATCTTATTTCAGGAAATGGAAATCCAACATCAGTTATCATCCATGGACAGGACTCAACAAGTGTAATAAATAAAATATGGGATTATCAAAAAGCATTATTATTAACAGACTTATTGAAATAAAATATCATTTTTGGGAACTCGAAGAATTGTAAAAAGGACAAACCATTCCAAATCATGGCTGATCATATCTTTGGGATTATGAGGGTATTTCCCAAAAAAATTGGAATTGAAATTAAAATAATGATTTTAATTTTTGGGATTTCGACCAAGACTCATATGTCACTGAAATTTGAAATATTCTATTATTTTTGTAATAAAATAAAATAAGACATATCTGGGCTGATTTACAGGCAAATAAACTAACATACCAAGAGCGATTCTGGATGAACGGGACAAACTGAGGTCACAAAATGACCATTATCTTCGTGACTGCATAGGCAGGATTCTGGAGTTAAGGTAGAAAAATAAAATAATATTTTAAAGCGTTTTCTATTTTTTCGACCAAAAAAATGCTTTTAAAAAATTTTAATTATACTCATGTCTTTTTGAGCCTGTTAAGCCAGCAAAAAAACGCCATAAAGGGGTCACAGGAGCTGGCCAGGTTTAAAGAGTCCTTGTCAACAAAATCAGGGAAGTCACCAGTCAGGTATGCAGTCTCAGCGTTCTATCAGCCAGCAGCAGGAGGAGCACCACGCCAACCAGTGAGAACTACTATGAGAGATCAACCCAGATCTTCAGAATTTTATGAACTATGAACAAAGGTAGCTGTCCCAAACCACAAATTCCTATTGAAATAAATCACGTAAATCTATTTCTGCTGTTGAACCTAAAGTTTGAGATATTTGCTATACTCTATATTTTCTAAAACAGCTGTCATCAGATATTTGAAAACTTCTATTTTTCTCAATGTTTTGAATTTAGTTGAGGGCTTCTTGTGTGTTATTCAATTTTTACTCATTAATAAAGAAAAATTCATCAGACTATTCGTGTTTCCAATCACTGAATATTACTATAAACTAGAAAATCTTTGGGTTAATCCAACTGGACTTACCCAAGAACCACTGTAATTTTCTCTGACATCCAGTTGTTTCAGTCAGAAAACGATAATCTTTCTTATGAAAAGATTGTGCATTGGTGGTGCAGAGGACTGATCATTCTGATCAGGAAAATCTTCCTGTTTTTAAAGTAGGAAGGATTTAGTCTTTGATTAGAAGCCATGGCAAAATGAATGATGTTTGTGTTCCATAGCCCTTTCATAATCTGGTATGGGAATTGGAATTGTAGCTTTTGAAGTGGATTCTAGTTTGCTGATCATGCATAAATTGTAAAATTTTTTTCTAGTTTCTAATCTCTTCTAGAATGTTCATGCTGGCACCAATATTAACTAGAAATTTAGTCAGTATGTCATTTATGTGATCATCACTATTGGAGTGTTTGTTGTAGGCACTGGTGTGTCTCGGACCAAAAAGACACTCATTACTAGAAGAATAAGACACTCCTAATTCTTCACCCTCCCCTCCCACAATATTGGCAGGCTGGGAAACTTGTTGGAGTCCTGCTGAATTGAGTAGTGATGTTGGGGTTGATCACTCCTGTTTTTTCCTCTTCATTGGCTGTTGCTATCCTAGGGAGCAATGGTACTTGCCCAGTTTTCCTTTTCTGTTTCTGGGATTGATGCCTGTGATTTCCATGGCGTTTGCTTCATCTAAAAGCCCTTTTAGAGTGCAGTTTTCTTTCAGAGCTTTCTTTTTAATCCTGGAAGACCAGTCTTGAATGATCTGTGCAAGATTGAAATTCACAGATAGCATTCTTAGTCTGGTGTAGTATACATTCATACTATATACTTTGCAGGGCTTGTGGAAATTTGAATATTATTATTATTATTATTTTTTTTTTATTTTATTTTTTTTTTTTTTTAGTGAAATATCCCATAAGGGTGTGTCATATTTTCTCATATTCTGCCAGCACCTCCACATCATTTATGAGTTGTGCCAATTCTGTTTTCTTTATCTGTAAAGCTGTGGTAAATATTATAAACTTCATCCTCAGCATAGTGAAGGAGCATTGACTTTTTCTTTGTTTGTCTTTTTTGATATCTGACACACATAGCAGGTTCTTAAATTCTCATTGTTTGAAAAGCTCTCCTTATCCTTGCCACCATAATGTCTTATAGCTCGTGAAAGGTGAATACAACAGAGACCTGTCAGGAATACCCAAAGAAAATGAGGAGACCAGTTCCAGGCTTCTAAAAATATACAAGGGGCTGTTTCTAATTTGCTGATTCATACAACCTGTATCTGTACTATCTTTATTAGAAAGTAACCTCCAGTTTCAGAGGTCAATGATGTCACTACATCATACACCCATCACCATGGTGGCAGATTGCAGAAAGAGGATATAACCAAAGAGAATCTTGAAGGATGCCAACATCAATCTCGTCTGCCTAGAAGAGTCAAAACCATACTATTTTTCATCTAGGTGTTTGTTTTTTTATTTATTTATTTATTTATTATTTTTTTTTTTTTTGAGGTGTTCAGGGATTTTGTCTGGACCAGTAGTCTTTATAGTGAAATCTTTTGATAAGTTTGGAAACCTCCAGAGTAGATCTAGAAATATTACAAAGCTTTTGCTCCATGAGGAGGGCAAAGTTAGGTAAAGAATGGTCTAACCTGGAGTTAGATGCAAATTTCATAGCAAAGAGTTTAACCCTATCTGACAAGGATGAGATAACCTCAGGCCTATTTATAATGGAGGGAACTGATGCTTTATTGAGTATTGCATTTGTGATTTTCCAGAACTTGTGCTATCCAATTTTTTTGGTTTCCAAATTGATTTGTACTATTTGCATAGCTGCTCTTTGCATTTTCCAAAACTCTTTTGCATTGATTGCACACAGTTCTGAATAAGGTAATGGTTCTACTACATCATTCCCTCTGATAGAGATGGTAGTAGTGTTTACAGTGGGCCATGGCTGCAGCACATTCAGATTGAACTAGGGTTGGCTATTTGGCTTTTGTTGGTACTTTTTGTGAAGCTTTCAATGCTGGAGATGACAATTGTGTTGATCTTTGCTAATGACTATAACCAGCTGCCTACTCCACATTAGAAGGGACACTTAATTGCATAGTATAGACCTAAGCATGTAAAATTAAGCACAGCTTTACAAAAATGTTTGGTAATATAGCATTTAAAATTATTCTTATTATATATAATGATATCCAAAAATAGCAATTGTTGATTTTTTTTTTTCACATAACAAATTCTCCAGAAATTGCATTTTCTCCTATGCCAGTCTACAAAAAAAAATTTCCTTGTTTACCTATTAATGGAAAAATGACAACACTCTACAAGATAAAATTTTCAATATCATCTATTGCTCAGTTGTACTTGTATTTTAAATATTTTGATATAATTATCAACTATGATAAATGGATACACATTGACTATGATAAATTAAAAAGAAAATTGGCAATTTGAGCCAATGAAATTCTTGGCTTCCTAACAGTTCTTTACAAATCTTAAAATGTTTTACTGTATTTTCTTCTTTCATTTCTTAAGGAAATATTGATATAAGGCATTCATCAAGTACTTGGTAAGGAGAAAACTTACTATCAATAGCTTGCATGGCTAGCATGCTAAACTACATTATTATAAGTTTCTATTTATATGAAGAGGTGTTGAAAGTTCTTCACCCAACCATGACCCCACACACCTTAAAATTCTTATATTTTGTCAAATTTTGGGATGTAGTTCAGGTCAAGAATTGTTGCAGAAAGATATTTGCAACTCCCCAAAATCATATTTCTAAAAGTCACAGATTTCCTATGAATCAACTACCTCATCACACATGACCAAAAACAATACACACTCTACACTTCTCAAAAGTAAGATAGCCACCATTTGTCAAATAAGAGATTTCATTAGCTGTCAAACTCTATGAAAGAGAACTAGAATCTTTTGCATAGAATATACACATGTAGGTGAAGTAAGCTCCTATTTTCTTTACTACAACAATTTTTCATTACCCACTCTAGTATACTGTATTTGTTAATGGAGATTATCTTTTGTTTGGGACATACATAGGGTATTATTGTGATTATATTATTTTGCAATGTCAGAAAATAAAGAGAAAGCAATGAACCATAGCTGTGACTAGAACTTGTTTCTATATTTGAGTCTTGCAATTCACAAATATTTCTTTTACGATTTCATCAATATTGTCTATAATACAGACTTCACTTTCATCTAACTACCTGTTCAGTTTTATTCACTTCTTTGAAACACTGCATACACACACACACGCACACACACACACACACTACAACTGAGACAACCTTTTAACCAAGCATAGCTTAGCAATAACATTCAAACAGATTTCAATAATAATCATCTAACAAAAATTATGATTGAGGCACACGTTATGTTATCCTGGAGTACACCTGTTATTACATATACACAAGTTGTATTGGGTTTCACATTGTTTTTATTTTCTGTTGTAAAATCAATTCCCCTCTTTCGCAGGTTCGTGAACAACAATTGCAAGATCTTCTTGAAGCAAAAACTTTAGCTGTTAACCGAGCTGACCGTGTCATTAGCCAGTATCGTTCACGTAGAGCAGAAGTAGAAGCTGAGGTAAGAATTAGAACAGTTTGTTGGAAGAAAATCTTTTATAATTTTCCTAAATGGTGGATGTTTTTTTGGGCAAGATTTGTCTCTTTTCAATGCAGGTATTGTAGAGTTTATGCCTGTTGGTTATTAATTTATATATTCCTTTTTTATCTACATAAATTTACAATTCTTTTAAATATTTCACTACTATTCCTATCCTAATTATAAAAAGTACTGGCTCTTATTTCAAAGTTGCATTTCTAATTTAGCTGTTCAGTGCTATACATCTAACTTTAAGACAGCCATTTCTTGTTGTTGTTTTCCAAATCAACAATGACTGTCACCAATGTTATTGGATGGGTGTGTGTGTGTGTGTGTGTGTGTGTGTAACTATTACTGACCTGGAAATTCAAATCAGTGTGCCGAGTTCAAATTCCGATTTTGTCTTATTTCATTCACTGTTCACTAATTTGTTTGCAAAAAATGAATCCTTCTTCCTTCAGCTGACTGACCTGTATTGGCTTGGGTGACAGCCTGTCTAGGAGTAGAATTCAAACCTTTGTAAATAATAGTGTAGACTGGGCTTTTTACCAAGGCAACCAGTCTAGAACAACACTGAATTCAAAATAGTTCTGAATGAGGCTATCTTTTCCTAGACACACTCATGGATGTTTTGGCTGCAGGATATGACCCCCATGTGTTGCAGGACTTGTGATCATCAATGTCACATATTACCTAACACTGTTTTTTTTTCTGAGGAATTTTTTAATTAGAAATCATAAAGAAATAAAGACTTGTCTTTTTAGTTTTTTTTATCTTTATTTGATTTGTGTTACAATGAGTTTTTTTTTTCTTTTAGAACTGCAGCATGAGGCATATGGTTCGTGATTTTGAGAGAAGAACTGAAGACTACCAAGCAAGACTAAAAGATATGGAAAGTCTTCAGACAGACTACAATCAACTGTTGATTGAAAAACAAAAGTGATGCATTTGCTCTTTAGATCTTTTTCACATTATTTAATTTTTCTGAATTAAAATTATTTATTATTATTCATTTCTTCATATAAACATTTCTTTCATTCAGTAAAAAAAAACATTCCCAAACAATTTGTTTAGACACTTTTGAATGAATATTTCTAATTATTAATCCTCTTTTAAAATATTCAGTTCATTAAACCAGTTTCAGTTATTTTTATTTTTATTTGTTTTTTTTTTTTTTGTTCTCTTTTCAGATTGATGGGGCTTGTTGAGGAACATCAACAATTAAAAGAAAATTATGCAGAACAATGCCAAAAGTAGGTTATGACACTATTCTACATAACACTGGATGCTTTCTTACTCTTATTCTTTAAGCAAAGAAATAAATAAACTTTTACAATGATTTGTTACAATGAATGGTTAAAAGAACTTTTTCTTTTTTTTTTTTTATTTTTATTTTAAAGTAATGAACACTATTAATGAATGCAAACTATTCTATATGTAAACAAATTAAACCAGAAATATTATTTATTCCTTTACTATTAGGACTTTTGATATCATTGGAGGATTTACAACATTATAATTTCTATAATTTTTCTGTTCATTCCATACAAGAATTTTCTTGCACTCAGCTTCAGTTAGAGAGTTAGTAGATGCACAGATACAATGTGTAAATCTGTAATGATGCAATAGTTTACAGATTAATTGAAGATAAAATAAAAAAAATAAAAGCATTTTCTCATGAAATAAAAATTAAACTTTCAGTACACCTTATTTGTCTTTTATTAATCATTTTTCTGTATATTTTTTTGAATTTTTGTAGAACTGAAAACCTGGAGCACATGTTGAATAGTCTCAAAGAAGAACATGCCTCGTTAGTAGAAATGCATGAAATTTTGCGCCGGCATCATGAGTCTCTCAAACAGCAAAATGAAATGTAAGTACAGTGAAACCAAAGGAAAACTTTTGTGATTCATTACAAAAGAATCTGGAATTCTCATCACTTTCTCAAAATTCTTAACTTTCTACAAATTTTCCCTCAGATCTACCAATCTTTCTTCAAAGGCATATTTAATGTCCTTGTAGGATGCACTTTGACTATGAAGCTGTTATTTTTATTTTTAGATAATTTTTTCTCCTCTATTGAGGATTTTTGTCATAATCCTCATTCAAGGTGTCCAACATATATATCAGGTCATTCCATAAGTTCTGTCCGAATTTTGAATAAAGAAAACAAGTGATCAAATGTTACATTTAATTACAGATTCAATCAACAATGTATTTTCCCTGATTATCTCTGACTTCCTTCCATCTATTAACAAGCTTACTAATTCTATTACTGTAAAATTCTTTTGGCTTTGATTCGAAGAACTCACAAATGTCAGTTTTAACCTCTTCCTGTGTTACAAAAGTTGTTTCTTCCAAATGATTCTGTAAGCTACTAAACAAATGGTAGTCTGAAGGAGCAAGATCGGGAGAATAAGGTGGATGAGGAATTTTCTCCTAACCAAGTTCTTCGATCTTTTGTGATGCGTTTCTTGCTGTGTGGGGTCGCGCATTGTCCTGATGAAACATCACCTCTTTTCAATTCACTAGAGCAGGTCTTTTTTTTCCTCAAAGCTTGGTTCAAACACTCTAATTGCTGACAGTATATTTGAGCATTAATTGTTGCATTAGGTGGATTATTCCTTGGCGATCCCACCAGATTGAAAGAAGAACCTTTTGCCCATGAAGTTCCCTTCTCGGCTGTGGCTGGGGTCCTTCCCCTTTACCAAGCCACTGTCTACGACGCTTAACATTTCAATAAAAGATCCATTTTTCGTTGCCAGTCACAAGTCTATCCAAAAAAGGTGAAACAAGTTGGCGAGAATGGAGAGAAGAACAGATATCAACTCGGGATTTGATGTTGTTTTCAGACAATTCATGAGGCACCCATTTTCAAAGTTTAGGAACTTTTCCAAGTTGTTAACGATGACGATGAACAGTTGTATGGTTTGAACTGAGAACCACTGCCAATTCCTCAACTGATAAACCAGGATTTTCTTCAAGGGCTGCTTCAAGAAGCTTTTTATCAAACTCAACTGGACATCCAGTTTGATCTTCATCTTCAAGGGTGAAATCTCCGCCTCTGAATTTTGCAAACCATCTTTCTTTCACACATTCCTCTCCATTAACTGAGTGAATGTTTCTAGCTGCTTCGGTTGCCGAGTTTCCTTTCTTGAACTCATAAAGCATTATGTGCCTTAAATGATTCTTGGGTACTTCCATGTTAGCAGGGTTTTAATCAAACAAAATTTAATTTTATTGTTTTCTGAAATAAAATTTGATCAGTTTAAATTTTGTTCATTTTAACAAAAAGTTAAAATTCGGACAGAACTTATGGGATGACCTGATATTTATGATTTTATTTAAGCATGATACATTCAAAACAAAAATATCTCTTTCACCATGAAACTAAATTCTAGTCTTGAGTCATATTTAAAAAGTTTTAGTTGTTGATTTCCGGATTTTGTATTGGATATATTTTCTATTCATACTAATTTCTTGTTGCTTGCTGAAAGATGGGGCCCATCCCATCTGATCAGTCTGGAAATTTTTTTTTTTCTTAACAAAAACTTGAACAACAATTCAAAAGTTTTAAAAATTTGAAGTTGGAGATATAAGAAATACCTTCTGTTATAAAAGTAATAATATATTCTAAACAAAGACATATTTCATTTGATTTCTAAATAATACTTGACTTTTTTTTCCCAGTGCATTAGAGAAACAAGCAAAACTGTCAAGATCACTTAAAGAATCTGAATCTCAAGTAAAAGGTGAGTGTTTATCTTTTTTCTTGTAGAAACAAAATTATTTATTAATGGAAATTGCAAGGAAGAAAACTTCAGTTTTGATCAATATAGTTTTGTGGAAAAAATGTTATTTTAGTGTGATAAAATTTATCTTTCTATACAATGATTTTTTTATGTTTTTGAAAACAAGTCTGTTAAACCCATTGTAAGTAAACATAAATTCCTACAAACATGTAATATTTTGATATAGAATGCAAAATATATATATATATATATATATATATATATATATATATTATAAAACTGAAATTTTGCAATTTCAGTTTTGAAGAAGTTAAGTTGTGAACAGGAAGAACAACTTCATAAAATCTCAAAGGAAAGAGATGAACTGGAAGAAGCCATTGATAAAGTGAGAGGAAATTTGTCTAAAACTGAAGCTGACAAAAAAGAATTATACCAACAGGTAATCAATTTCATTCATTTTTGTCATTTTGACTTACTAATTGATAATTTTGTATTAAAAACTTATCAATCCTATCCTATTCAAAAGTCTACTAGCAAACTGAAACATAAAAATAAGTAAATAACATATCTTGTAGTTAATAAATATGGGATTGATTTGAAATTTATGGCTTATGTAAATTGTCTTTCATACAAGGTTTTGTATGAAAGTTACTTAATTTCAGTTATAATTTCTATTATTATATTATTATAAATGTATTTATCATGGTAGTAACTTAGTCAAAACTGGACAATTTGTTTTTTCTTGTGTATGTATAAACATAGAACTCAACACTCATCGAAGCTTTCCATTGACCAATGATCACCCGACATTGCAGTTCCATTCTCGATGATGAAAGAAATGCCACATTGAGGAATAAGGATGTGAACTCTGTTTTCCATATTGTATATAAGTGTTTTATTCTGGGCTTGCCTGCTCGTCTGGGTGGGTAGGTAGGTAGGTAGGTGATACTTGGGACAACTTCTGCTAGGTCAGCTCTTCATCTTACCAATTCTTTGCTTATTTACACATGTTGATGTGGTAGCCCTGCAAATACAAAATGGAGGCTTCAGTACAGCAACACATATGTGTCTGTCTCTTGCCAAGGGTAGACCAGCATGACTATTAATATAGTCCAACACTCTGATATAGCCTATTTCTTGTTTTGTGGCCACTTGATCTGCAAAAATCCCTCATCAGTCCTTTTACTTCCCATTCCCCTTTGGTTAAAATGAATGCTGCTTAGAAGACCAAACTTCAAAAGGACCCATTTGCTGGTCTATCAAACAGAAACACTTGAGATTGAGATAAAATTATCTCTTCCCTTTCTATGTGCCTGTCTATAGTATCACATGTGGAACAAGATATTTTACACAAAAGGTTGCTATTGAAATTTTCATTTGCTTACATGTTGCTGTGAGTATTTTTGCTGTTTTCAACCAAATTTTGACACTATCAGGAGTTAGAGGGGGAGAGTGTAATATTATTTATATAAAAATTGAAAGATGAAATTAATCAAATTAACATTTACTTTTCTAGAACATTTTTTGTTTAGAAATTAATATTTGAGTTTTTTCTTAGTTTAACTGAAAGAAATAGCAAGTTTTGTATGATAATTTTTAAAAACTTTCCTGGTTCAATGTCCTTTCTATTTGAGTTTCATGAATTTTGCTTTTCATAAGTGTATTTGCCAAATTTGATCTGAACTTTGACAAAAATATGAGTATTTATGTAAGTATGAGAGGGTGCTAATTTTTGGCTTAACTCATTTCCTAATATCTAACCAAATAACCAAACCTCAAAAATTTAGTGGCTAAAAAAATATGCAGTGTCAAGACACTTGGTGAGTTGTAGTGATTCAACTTTGATCCAATCAAACAAATAACTTAAGTCATTTCTGCCTGAATTTCTGGGATGAAGGGCTATAATTATTTACACTCAAACTGTTGTACTCATCATATTGATATTATCACAAGGTTTGGGCCATTGTGCATTCTATTAATCCAGGTAACCTTTAGGGAATTAATTTACAGTAGTAGAATATTCTCGTTCCACTAATCATGTCTAGAGTCATCTTGTTGAGCTCTAATTCACTACTGCTCAGTTATTGCATGCCCAGTTTACACTGAGTCGACTTGGCCCAGGGATTGAACTCACAATTACTATATCACCAAATTTGAAAAAACAGTGTTTTAATCCACTAGATTAACATAGAACTTATTTCTTTAAATCTAGTCTGCCTGCTGCTGAGACTGCAGCTTTTACACTTTGACGGCATCCCCTGATACCTCTTTTATTGCTGAAGTGTTGCTCTCATTTCTTTTCCTCAATTAACAGATCCTATATTATATTTATTTTTATGCTAGTTCTACTAAGGAAAGTCTAGCATATATACTGATTTTTCAGATGCCTGACTCTTATCTGTCTAGTATTTTTACTTCATTCCACAGTAGTTGTGACTACCATTTTACTGCCATAAATGATTAACTATGCATTATTTTATTGTCTTGCTCCTAATTAAGGCTTTTTGATATTACTTATTTTTACCAACCTTACTTTTGTTTTGAGATGGACAAATATTACTTGAACCACAACCTTAGTCAAAAATTTTAATTAACAAACCCCATTAAGAATGATCTTTTTAAACCTCCAGTTGACTGTAACCATTGAGCAACTAAGAGCAGAAACTGATTTCTTTTCTTAGAAATGCTTAGTAGTTAATGTTAGACAATTTTGCAGAGCCAATCGAGAGTTGCCTATCAGAGTAGATTGAGATGAATAGAGAGGCATTGAATTATTCTTCATTATCAAATAAACTCTGATCTGGACAAACTGGGATTCAGTTTCTATGGAAAAAATTTGTTCCAATATCTTTCTACTTGCAATATTCCAATAATAATCTGAGATTAGCACTACCTAAAATATCAAATAACCTTTTCATCCTTGAAGTTGGTGTTTTTATATCATTGTTATCTGTTTAGAATAAGAATAATTCTTGTGTCATTCTCCAAGAAGTAGGATTTTGATGATTTTTTCCAGTGTCAAAATTTGCAGTTGTGGATTATCATGTTGTTTTTTTTCTTTTGTCAGTTTCAGCTAATGCGCCTCATCAATCTGGGATCTGAAATTGATAAGTAAATAAGTAAATAATCTGTAATTCTATCAACTGTTACTCAGATGTTGCAAGTTTAATATAATCAATATTCATGTAGTCCTGTAGAAAGTGACCAAAAATAACATTTTTGGAGCCAGTTCCACATAAATGTTAAAAGCTAATTTGTTATAAAATTGTAAGAATTAATATAACTATAATGCTAAATATGTTTTATTAATTCTAGGAGGTAAATTAAGGACAGTTTTGTTTGTGATAGATTTTTTCAAAACGAAAAGAAATGATGTATAAATATTGAGGTGCCTGAAAATTGTATTTGTATTAAATTTCCTAACTTGTTAATCTTCTTTTATTTAAAGATTTCATCTCTAGAGTTAGTCTGCCAACAACATGAATCAAGCATTCAAGAGAAAAATACAGAATTACAGAGAGTGAAAGAAGAACTTGACAAACACACACAGATAGCTGCTTTGATTCACAATTTGAGCAGTGGAAAAGCACCACCACCAGGAAAAATTTTCATGAGTGACAACATCCAATCATGATATCTCTTTTATTCTCTTTCACACTCATGCACAGTGTCTATTCTGTGTTTTCTCTGCTCATTTTTATTTTTTTTTAAAAATATCCTTAAAATCATTAAAAATAAAGAATGGTTTACAAAGCATTTCTTTAACATCTATTGACACTTTGCATTCAAAGAAGGAAAATCAAATGTAAATAGTATTGAAAAAGCTTTCATTGCTACTAATAGCAACATTTCTAAGATGTCCTTCAAAACTAAATATATATTTTAAACTCATCAAAGTTATAAAAAAATATTGAATTTTTTTAGATGGAACTTGAATCATATACATTTTAATTGTAAACTTAGCTTTTAAAGTATAGCTTTCATCAGTATTTTTGCTGCTGCTAAAGTAAATAAATAGTTTTCAGTTTGGGAAAAATAGTTATAATTTTGTGCTGTCTATAGTTTTTTTTTTGTTTTTTTTTACACACACACACACACACACACATATATCTTGAAAAATTAATTTGCCATCATTGGAGATGCCAATTATAGCCCAAGTATAAAAAAAGTATTTTTGTGGATAAAGTTATTTTATCATGATCTTAAATCAATTTTTCTTTTATTGTAGACCTCAATTCTTGATCAAGAGTTAGATGTTCTAATTCATGAGCTGATCTCTTAATTAGTTTCTAAAGCCTGACTTCACAACCAACTATGTACCCATTACCAACTCTTAGATTGTGGGGAACAATAAAATTTTTAAAAAAATTTAAATTAAACAAGTAGTAAAAATTGCCGGAAGTATTTAAATGCTAATTTAATTAGCATTTTTACTCCTTTTGCAATTGGTAAGTTATTTTTTTTAGAGTTATCAGATTGAATCCCTATTCCTGCAAACAAAATCTAATTTTCTTCCATAGTGTCATTTAAGGTTTTTTTTTCTTATCATTTCCACTTCTTTTATCCTTCTAGGAACACAAAGATACCTAACTTAACTATGTAATTTCCAAATAATTATTTTTGAATCCATTATTTTTAGTGGATACCTGTACTTGAAGTAGGTGTGCCCTGTTTTTATTTTAAACTCTGTGTATCACATCTATTGGTTTATGCATTTGAGAAATTTTAATGAAGAAAATGTGCTTTTCAGAAGGGTTCAAACCCGCACCCCCCCCTCTTTTATGAGAAACTTTCTTTTGTGCTTTCTTTAAGTGGGAAATAGAATTTTGCTGGCTTGTTCGCTCTCTGGCTGATCAGTTGAAGACGCACCGGATTAAAGTGTTTTTTTCCTACGAAGGTGTGCACAGCCAGAGAGTACATTTTCTTAAGTGTGCAAATCAATAGATGTAATACATACTGTTTTAAAATAAAAACAGTGTCTATTTTGAATATTGGTATCCAATAAAAAATGTTTGAAGTAAAAAATATATATATATATATATATATATATATATATATATATATATATATATATATATATATATATATTGCTGAAATTAAAGCAAACATATGAACATTAGAACAGCTCATGATCAGACATGGTAGACATTCATTGTCTGTTATATTTAACAATATGTTTAAATAATGATCTGCTTCCCCAATATACTCTCTATCTATCTATCTATATATATGACAAATTAAAAATAACAATGTCAGATTTAATCCATTTCTTATATATATATATATATATATATAAGAAAAACAGACCACTTTAAGGCTCCATTGTAATAATTTATTTCACTAGAGACTTTTATTTTTCCCAGGATCTTCAGATATCACTTTCAAAATGAAATTAAAATTTACACTTTTGACAGGCAGTATTAAGCTTATATAAGTTGACACAGAAGGTAGCAGGGGATGGTGTGAGAGACATGGTTGTGTTTAGAGAGGGAAGGGAGGAAAGTTTTAAAATTTATTTTTATATTTCTTTTTATTATAATACTTAATATGAGGAAGGAGGGGGTAAGGATCAGACATTGACCTATTTAATCGGTCAACTCAATGGAAATGATATGGGGAAAGGAAGGAGAAAATAGGGAAAAAGAAAAAAAGGGGGAAGTAAAGAGATGTACTTAGGGTTTTTGGAAGAAGAGGAGTGGTATAGCTTTAGCAATTTAGATAAAAATAGATTTTGTTTGATAGTAATTTAAATGTTTAAAAAACTCCACAAAGAAATTAATGCTTGTTAGCAATTTAAATATTCAACTTCTCTACAAATAAATTAGGGATTTAATATAAGTTGAATACTATATTGATAAACAACAATAATAAAAAAAATAAAAGTTTACTAATAGTAATATTTTAATATTGTGAATCACTGTTAAGGTAAAATCTTTATCAGTTTGAATCTAATTCATGAATTTAATTTGTAGCTATTTTTAGATGGTAATATTTCTTAAAGTTTAGGTTTCAAATCAAGATGGAGTAAAATTTGAAGGTAATAGTAAAAAAAATTTCTGTTTCTTCATACATATACCACATACATATTTACGTAAAAATCACATATACATACGTTTATGTACAATTACACATATAACCACATACACATGTATCGATATACACTGGTATATATGCATATACAAATACTTACACATACATTTACATATCTCCACACACATTCATATTTATACCTATTTAAATTTTTTCCTTAAATTTTACACTTAACGTTAGGTGGTGAATTAAATGTTTAAAATTTCAAAAAATATATTTAATTTTAATATTTTTAACATCATGACTAATAAAGAGTAACATATTTTAATTTAAATCTAAATGATCAATTTAAATTGAGATTATCTCCAGATAATTAGAATTTCCAATCTTATAATTCCAATTAGAAATTATTTAAAGAGAAAGTAAGATTAAACGGTAATAAAAAAATTTTCTGTCCTTCCATTAGAACTTTTTCTATATATAAAAAAACATACCACTATATCCTACACATATATGAATTCATACTTATATAAACACATATGCAACCCTATATATATATATATATATATAAATATATATGCATATACATATATATATACCTAAAAATTATACCCATTTACATATGAGTCCACAATATATATATATATATATGTACATATATACATGTATATACATATACACATAAATCCACATATCCATATCCAAGTATTTGTATATATTTGTATACATACAATTATGTATCCACACACACGTGTGCATACAATCATTTTCAAATCTAAAAATGAGCCAATATTTACCATCATATATATTTTTTTTTTTTTTTTTTTTTTTTTAATGGATTGAATTAAATTGAGATGATTTCTATGTCTGCATTTAAAAATCATCTCGTTATATTGGTTCAGTAATTTATCATGATTTTTATGCTTTATTATTAGAATCTTCTCTTTTACACACAGGTCACATCGGTTTCTGAAATTTATTAGAGTTCAAACCCTAGAGCTGATTCTCCATTTCACTTGTGGGGTGAAGCCGTTCTCCAATAAATCCCAATAGTGTTTCGATAGTGCTGTTTGGTGTCTTTTAGATTCATTTGTGAAGAACTGACAATGGTTGTAAAAACGTTTCTAGTTTCCCGCAGATATTCCTATATATATCTTTTTTTTGTTTTATATTTTCCTTGGGGGGAAATTGTAGCTTCGTATATCACGTTTTCTGCCATGCATATTCCTCCTACTGGACAATCAGATCCTGCTCTGCAATTGCAGCTAGATGTTTCTTTTTTCAATTTATTTGCATTAATTGGTTATTGTGAAATTCTCCAATAATTTTGCTATTGTGAGAGCTTATAATTTTTTCTACATTGCTCATGCATGAATAACTAATTTTTAGATTCATTTTATTAAACATCATTTTCAATAGCTCATCTTTACTAAAATGCTTATCTATTAGCTTTAGGAAGTATTTCCCTATATTGATATTAGATAGTTTACAGAAAGGCGGGTTGAACCATATAATCTTCCTTTTCCTATTTTTGGACTTAGTGGATGTGTTATTAATTGGTTTATCTATATAATTTAATGTTTGTTTAAATTTACTTTTTAATAGGGCTTGATTATATGTCTATTTGTTTTGGTTAAAAATTTGTTTTACTAGAAGACAGTTTGTTTATTCTTGTATTTACTGTATTTGGAATTTGGTTTATAATTGCTTTCGGGTGGTTTGAGTTGATATTTATGTGTATGGGTGATTGGTTTTCCTTTTGGAAGGGTTTGTAGGTGTTATTGTAGAGATTAAAAGTAACGTCTAGAAAATTTACGATTTTTAGGTTGGATGATATTTCGATTTTAAATCACAGAAATTTGAAGGCCTTAATTATTTTCTGTAGTTGGGATGTTAGAGAACCATTGGTATTAGGTATAACAATAAGTCCATCATCTTTGTACAGCCCTACGTTTTGGGGGTTTAGGAATGTGCTTAGGATATCTAAAATGTATATACCTATTAAATCTGCTGTTTGGGCTGAATCATATGCTCCCATTGGGACATCGAAATTATCTCTGTTTTCTTTAATCCAAGTAGTGTCATTAAGCCTTGGTATAGACTGTTTAGAAGCCATTATGATTTTTATTTCTTTGTCAGGAATTTTAGTATAATCTTTAGCAAAACTTAAGCTATATTCTAATAAATTTTTAGAAATGGAGGGGTAGAAGTCGATAATATCTAATTGAATAAAGGAGGCTTTAGTTTTAGATTTTGGAACCAGTTAATGGTGTCCGATGAATCTTTCCAAAGGTTTAAGGATATTTTTCTAATATAGATGTGTTTATTCTTTTTAGGATATTTTTAGAAATTAGGCCTAACTCTGATTTGGAGGGATTTATCAGTCTGGAATGTCAATTATTTTGGAAGTTTGGTTTATGGTCTTTAAAAATTAGGTAGGCATCTTTTAGATGAGTTATACCCATTCTTTCCGCAATATTATATTTATAGGCGAATTTAGCAGTTTCTCTGTGTATGGAGGATAAGTGTCTAGAGTTTTTATCTTTTTTATAAGAGTTAGACTTTATTCAGAATTAGATGGTGGTATTCAGATGAATCAATTTTGTAGATGTGTATATATATATATATATATATATATATATATATATAAAGGTAAAAGACAATAGGAAAACTGTATTATTAGCCAACGCATTTTGTCCAATGAGGACTTTCTCAAGACAAAAATGTTTTTTCCTTGAAAAAGTCCACATCGGACAAAACGCGTCAGCTAATAATAAAGTTTTCTATTGTCTTTTACCTTTATACATATTGTCTTTTTCTACTGGATAACTCTGAGATATCTTTCATATATATATATATATATATATATATATATATATATATATATATATATATATATATATTTTCAGCATGACTATGCATTTATATAGATAAACCCAGCTGGTTATAATTGATCCTTGGCCATACTACTTCGCACACGATTATCACGGGATTATGGCTGCTTCAACCAAAATCATGTGAATTCCAAAGTTCCTTCTAGTTTACTCAGCTCTATTTCAGTTTTTAACCGATAAAAATTATTTCAAACATTTCTATTGTCTCCTGATGACCTAGATTCAATGGGTACAACTTCTGCCCTAGATCAGATTTCCCCATCAGTAAACAAAATGCTGATTTAATTTCACTATTCAAATCTACTCCAATTTCACTGAAAAAAAATATACGTGTGTGTCTGTGTGTGTTTCACAGACTCTCTCTCTCTCTCTCTCTCTCTCTCTCTCTCTCTCTCTGTCACATTTCCTCCCCTACCCATCTGTCATTTACTAGTAAATGACACACGAGCTTTCATATCAACAAAATATGAGAAAACCAAGTCCAACATGCTTCTTACTAGGGGGTTACTTAAACATACATCTCTTCCAGCATGCAAAGCTAGAGTCCTTAGTTTTTCTTAGGGCTCATTATGCCCATTTCCATTTCCATTGTCCTTACGATACATATGTACATGCAACTGGTTAAAATTCAAGGGTTCTTTCCTATTGTTTTTTTTTAAGTTCACAACACTCCTTACCAATTATTTCAGTCTCATTACTAAAAATAAAAAAAAAAAATTTGATTTATTTCGTAAATCTGTCCCTCCAATTTTGTCTCGCCTTCACAACAGGCTTTGTCGAATCTTTTGTTGGTTCAGGTCCTTCCACAACAATCGTGGACTCTTCTTCAATATCACTTAGGGGTCCCAATGCACTCGGGTCGGACCTACCTTGGTAAAGTGCATTAACTGGGATTCCTCTTTCATTCATGCACTCCTGTGCCAGTTTATTCTGCCCAGTCAACAACACCTCACGCCTCTTCAACCACCACCAAACCAGCAAGGCCATGACTATCATTAGTATAATTCCCACAATGGTCGGCCAGGTTATAGCAACCAAATTCTCTCCCCAGCCCAAATTCGGTGTACCTATCCTATCTAACTCCAACTTCCTGAGCTAAGGGGTATAATATACGGTGGTATTCCGGAGTCTGTAAATATTCTCCAGCAACTTGTGTCCTGGCTGTATCTAGTTTGTCCACTTCGGTCTTCAGTTGAAGACCCAGTAACTTCTCATACGGCTGCAGGTCTATCACCAAAGTTATGCACCACTTTGATCTCGTTATAATCACTTCGCTAGTCTTCTGTGGTCCCAGGGATTAGCTACCACAACTAGCATCGTCAGTACCACGAGCCTCCTCTCGTCCATGTCTGCAAGGAGATGGAGAGAATAATTTGTCTTACTCAATCATTCTCTCATCGTTTTTATCGGGTGGTTACATCTTAGAGCGATACCTCAAGCACCGACCCATACCACCACCAGCGCCGTGCATGCATGAGGCCTGTACACACAGTTCACCAGCACTGATGATAAATGCACAATTAGTCCCAGACCGTCACTCATTCACCACAGCCACTGTACTGGTTTCACTTAATCTTTGGGCTCAGGCTGCACCGCTCCCCTCGGCCGCCGTTTTAGTGGTAATTCCTCATTAACACTAGGTGCCTTTTTCAGCTCGCAATTTACTCTACAATTGAGCTAACGGAATTTCATCCTCTTCTTCCCATTCACCCAGTTCTTCTTCCTTAAGGTTAGGCTCAATCCCTGCTTCCTCAGAATGTTCCGCTGGGGTCCGATTTACCTCCCTCAGCCTTCGAAGGGTAGTTGGGCTAATCTCAATCTCCTCAGTCCCTTCATTTTCACTCTCAGTCTCTAACCCTTCGGGTTCTACCAACGTAGATTTCTTCAGCCTTTTCTGTTGAGTTTCTGTTTTGGCTCCTTTCTATTCTCCTATTTCAGCTAGCTTTATATCATTTGCATGCACTCTCTTTACCTGTCCAGTCAATTGGTCCCATATCACAAAGGAAACCGAACCCGTCTGCTCCACGATCCTATAGTATGGACTCCATCTCTGGTCCACTTTACCTTCTCTCATGTGTATTTTATATTTATAATATCGGGAAGGAAATTTCTCTATTTTTATTAACCCTATCGTTTAGCCTTTTCTGAGCTCTTTTAAATCCTCCTCCTCCTCTCCTGCGTAAAAATTTTATGGTGTTGTTCTAAAACTATTTGGTGATAATCCTCTCCTAGATACTTCCTCCTAGGTCATAACAGATTGTCTATAGGTAAGACTACATCCCTGCCATATATCAAGTAATAAGGGGAAAATTTTGTCGTCTCGTTTATCGAGAATCTCACAGCTGCTAACGCTTGGGTTACGAATAAATCCCAATTTTCCCTATTATCCTCTGTTAGTTTAGCTAACACATCAGCGAAGGTCTTATGAAATCTTTCTACTTTAGCGTTACTTTGGGGCTGATATGGAGAGGTGGTTATGTGCTGTATGTTTAATTCTCCCAACGTCTCTCTCATAATCTGATTCACATCCTCCGATCCATTATCGGTAACCAACTGTTCGGGGGCCACATACCTAGGGAATATTTCGTTCAGTATATCTGACACCGTTCGTGCCTTCTTATCTGTTATGACAATTACCTCAGACCAATTTCGCCAGCCAGTCCACAAAACTCAGTATGTAAAGATTACCTCTATGTGTTTCTCCATAGGGCCCGGAAATATCCATTCTTACTTTCTGAAATGGATAATTTGGAACATCCGTTTCTAATACTGGGGCAACCCTATTCCTTCGACTCTGTACTTGGCATGTTACACATTTTTTTACATGGTTCACAACATCATTAAACAACTTTAGTAATAATTAGTAATTTCTCATCATTAATCCATATGTCTTATCAATTCCCAGGTGTCCTAACTTCCTATGGCACTGATCTAGAATTTCAGCTCTCAACTTCTCAGGTATCACCATTTTTAAACTTACCTTTCAGGAAGAGATGAGGAAGTAATACAACACACCATCGTGCACCATACATTTGGAGATACGCCCTGCCCCTACCCTGGACCTGATAGTTGCTATCTCGCTATCCTCTTGGTTTTGCCTAATAATATCTCTCCAGTGGGGGTCGGAAACAATTTCCATTTCACTAGTTTCCTGATCTTCCCAACCAAGTCTCTCTTTCAACGCCTGTGAATCAATTACATTAATTTGGAATACTTTATCATTCACACCCATCTTCAACCTGACAGATTCAGTCTCTAATTGCCTCAGAATCCTTGTTGATTAGATCCAGTAACAGGACCTAAAGAGTGTGAGTTCAATACCCGGTTAAGGCAGTGGAGAACCTTCAGAGGGAAATTAACAATTAATAACTGATAACTGACATCCATCAAACATGGCACGTGGAACTAGAACAGTCTACCCCAGTGAGCGAAATAAAGGGTTCAGTTCGACATTCCAACCACCTGAAATAGGAGTTGACATGCCGTTAAATCCAACATCCATCCATCTAACCACCTGAAGAAGGCCGGAGCGTACGGCCAAAACGTGATAAATATGGTGACAAAGATGAAGACAATAGTCCAAATAATGTAAATAATGTATATCAACATTGGCTTATATTTGGTTTATAGTCAATTGCTTGTCATCCATCACCATGTGGTGAACACAATGTTTTCCTCAGTGGTGTAGTTGCATGATGTCCAGACATTGAGTCGTGTTCAAGACTCATCTTTCCCCTCCTAAATTCAGCTGCCCACTTCTGCACTGTTGATAAAGCTGGGACACGTATATCAGCATGAATGAACTTTGGGGCTAAACCCTTTTGCTGTAAGTACTTAATAACACCACAATGTCAAATTTTGTCCATTTTCAAGTTACTATTAGTTACTTCTGAAGTTGCTTTTGAATGGTTGGATATCAGTTTACCTCTAGGAAAAGATGCAGTTATTAATAAGAGTTGAAATTAATGCATGCAAGTGTTAACAGCTCTAGCAGCACCCCTTCATGGTTATCCTATGAAATTTTCAGCTGACCCTCATACATTTGATTTGTTCTTTGGATAAAAAAGTTTGGTTTTGTCATTAGGAATTTTTAGTTTTCACTGACTTCATTCAAAATGATTACTTTCAGTTGTGACAGTTGTCATATGAGTGTGCACTGAAAATATTTTATAGTCCATTGATTTGAACACTGAAGATAGCAGAAATGAAGAAACATTTTAAGTATGTTCATTATTTTAAGAAAGGTAAAAAATGCATCTAAGTTGAAAAAAGTTTTGAAAGTTTATGGAGAATGTGAATAATTGTGTCAAAGATGGATTGTGAAATTTCATGTTGATAATTTCTCATTGAGTGCTGCTCCCAGGTGAGGTTGATAGCAATTAAACAACATTGTACCTGGCAGTAATCAACACTCATAATGTCCAAATCAAGAAGTGAAAATCTTTTGCTCTGGCTTAATTATCTTTGTTGCCTCCGTGATTTCCACATAAGTGAATAAAAACCTTACTTGACCCTTTTTATGTGTACAATTTACTACTTAAATGTTACAAATTGCACTGTTTCTTGTAAAGTATCCACTGTTCATCACCTATATGGAACACAAGTGGAGCAAATGAAATGAACCACCACATCATCTCCCAAAGAAATGATTCTGTGTTGATAGGGTGGGTTTAGAAGGAGGTTCTTTACTATGTCAAAAGTCATAGGATATATGCTTTGTATTATATAAGAGTCTAGCCCAGTGAAATGCAATAACTCAATTCCACAAGTGGTTGGAAGATCACTGGAGAGATGGTGTCTTAATAGTTGCCCACAACTCCCATATATGTATAGATGTAGTATCTTATATGAGAATGAGTCTCTCCACTATATCCCATAAATTCTCATTGAGCCGGGTGAATGTGGTGGCCATACTAGTCATGGAATTCACTAGAATGCTCCTCAAACCAATTCTGGGCAACTTGACAGCATGATGACATAGTGCATTATCCCTCTGGAATAACACATTGTTATTAGTAGGGGACATGGCGTCCATGAATATGATGTGCTTAAATGGACTAAACAGCAGAACCAACCCATGCACTACCAGATTTCATGGTACTTTTTGACAAATGGGATCAATCCATGACCTCCGCGTTTGGACCAGCCCCAATGTTGCCAGTCTTTCAGGGTTCAATTAACGTCACGAGCATAGATAAGAGACCATATCTATGTCGTCAGGTCCCCTAGTGAGTCTTCCGCTCCTATATTCCTTGGGAGTTAATGTCTTCTATCAGGTATTTGCAGTGAACATGATACCATAGATTGAGGGATGTAAAATATGTCTACATTTTAAAAAAAAATAGGATGTCCTGTCTGACACCTGCTATACTCATAATTCATATCACCTTGCCATGAGCAGCCGAGCCCACTGACTAAGCAGATATAGGCCTGAGCATTTCCATGATATCAAGGTAGAATGGTTACCACCTACCATTAACATACTGCTTTCCCTCAAATTTTGGTACGTCAGTGTATTAGCTTCACTGCTTTTATTTACACCAATTGAAGGTAGCAATCAGAAAAAAAGTGTCTGTCCTGAATTATTTAAAGAGAAAGTGCATAATATACTCTCAGGATTCTGTATATTTCTTTGTTACAATCAATCAATCAATTCTTTGTTACATTTTGGCTAGGAGGTTTTGACTCGTCCATCATATTCAGCAGATATTGCAACTTCGGGTTACCAATTATTGTTGGTATTTATAGAATTCTCTGAATAAAAAAAAAATGCCAATTCTCTGGAAGATTGCAAAAGGCACCTCTGCTGAGAAAAATAAAAAGTTCTGTGAAAATGGAATTATGGAATTGGTTAAAAGGTGATAGAAAGTAATGGGAAAAAATAGTATGTTACTTAAATGAAATTAATAACAAAAATAAATTTTACTTAGAATGAACATTTTAGCGCCATAATATACAATAAGCAAAATTTGATTGAACAGTCAATTTTTTATAGGAAGTCAGTGTCCCCTTTAACAGCTTTAACAAATTTTAAAGAATGTATTGATGTACGAAAGAATTATAAAATGTAGAAAGCATTTTCATGAAAGTAAAATGGTT